GACTTCCATAGTATTTTTTTTCCCATACTATGGAAGTCAATGGCTACCAGCAACTGTTTGGTTACCAACATTCTTCAAAATATCTTTTGTGTTCAACAGAAGAAAGAAACTACTATAGGTTTGGAGGGTGAGTAAATGATGACATAATTTTTGGGTGAACTATCCCAACAACCATTTGCTAAATCCTGTTTGGAGGTCAAATTTGACACCTATCGTCTCCACTCCAACCATCCATCACCTAGCAACTGATGCCAAGGTTATGCGGGAAGTAGCACCCCAAACACATCCGTGCCTTTACTAACCCAGCCGTAGATTAGTCACTGGAACACTTCTGATTGTATTGCTTCCGCTCTCCATGTCTCATAGGTCTGAACTTGCATAAGCATTACTTCCCTCGAAGAAGACTCGAAGACGTTCGAATCATTTACATGCAGTTCACTGAAGTGTTTGATACACTTCTTTAATTTCATACAGTACGTCATTAAAACTGCACTCTAAAAAATGCTGGGTAAAATATAACCAATACAACCCTTGTCCCTTTTTAACCCAGCGCTGGGTTATATTTAACCCAGCATGTTTTAGAGTGTGATGGTACAGAATAACTGCTTTAAGTATCAAGCTAACAAAAATTTTCTGTCCTAGGAATTAAATACAAAAGTGAGCTACTGGGATGTTACTGCACAAGTGTGTTAGTTGTGCTTGCTTAGGCACTCGTTTAATGTCAGGGACTGGAACAAACCAATATTATAAGTATTAAACAAAGACATGAAACTCATCCTGCAAGTTTGTGCTAAAAATGTAAATGATCCCTTAAATCATGCAGCTTGCTGCAAAGTGCTGTGCTACTCGTGAAAGCAATTGGACCTCTGATTATCACCAGATGGATGTATCTAAAAGAATGCTGCAGAGATGACATGTCTTTGTAAGCCAAAACCCGGAAATTAGTTTTCAGCACTGGTTCCACCCAAGTCAATGAGTTTTTGATGAAATGCCTAAAATTAGGTCTGTGGTAAACACAAGCTCAGGATATTTTACTACCTTTTATTCTATGCACATAAAATACATCAGTAATACCCCCTTTTGATTTTAAAGCTTTTACTTGTCTTGAAAAAGTGGCTAAACATATCTGTTGTCCTACCACTTATCTGCTACATAAACATTCTACTCTTGATAATAGCTTAATAATTGGTTAAATAATACAGCATATAATATTTAATCACTATGAAAGACTGTTTGTGCTCTGGGATCATCGGAACAATCCAAAGTTTCGCTCTGAATCATTTTAGAAACTTGCTCTTTGAAACATTTTACTAGAAGGTCATCCAAAAAATATCTCCATTTTACCAACAGTTTCCCTTTTGCGAAACCGGACTCTATTTTATGGCATGCACGTAGACACCACAACTGCACATCATTTCTAACCACTAAAGCTGACATTGCTTTATTTTATAACCTTTGAAACAAGCAGTATGCTGATATGCACACCCACACATTCTCCAACAGGATATGGTCATTTCCTGTCACCAGCAATGTTATCACACTTTAACAAAATTTAACAGAAGTCATACAACTAGTATATCACATCATGGCAACATCTGCATGTGCAAGTCATGATTTGTGCTATAAATATCCCTGACATTTGGTGTTAAAATGGAAAAAGTTACCTAATGTTTTGCTGTCTTTGAATCACATGCCATTCCATATGACAGTGTGTTTAAAGTAAATGGATCAGTGGCTTTTCATTCGATTTTTTTTTCTTATTCACACATCATCATGAACAATGACAGGCCCGAAATATCTTTTTTTTTTTTAAAGTGACTCATCTCTGCTTTAAACTTACACATTTGCTATGTGTTATTTCAAAAAGGAACATAGATAGGTGTTTGACAGAGAAATGTTTCCTTTGTTCTCTAAAGATCTCTTCAGGACCAGCATTTTTAACAGTGGTAGTTTTATGTAAGTATGTCCTTTTTTAGAGTGCTTGTGGAAGAAAATAGCCATCTGGCATTCTAAAAGCGGACTCTTGGACGCACAGTGCCCACACTTTCCGCCAGTGGGTCAGTGGGTGAGAGAGGGAGGCAGACCACAGGGGAGGAAGAGATGGGCTTAGCTGATCCAGAGAGCGGTGGGCGGTGTGGGCTGTGTGCACCTGGAAAGTCAGTGCCGTTCAGGACAAGTAGGCTGAGAGCGTTTGTGTAGGCCTACTGCAAGAAGGGTGTGAAGGTCACAACGCTCCACATGTCATCAGTTTTTTTTTCTTTCCTGTTTGGCTCAAAGGGAGCCCAAAGAAAAACACTGACGTGGAATGCAACAGATTTGTTTGATGTTGTTGCCATTTATTGGGCATGATGACTAATAAGCAGGCTAAAAGTGAAATGTTCTCATCATTATATGTATACGTATTTATATATATGTATGCGTGTGCATGTGTGTGTACATTAGTTAATATATTATGTACATTAGTTATGAATGAACATTACGTGCTTATATAATGTTCAATATTTGACGAATTCCGTGACATTGCTCGTTACACAGTAAACTTCTGTTGTGTAGCATTTTGAAAGTACAAAAATTAAAGGGTTTGTTTAGTTTTCATTGGAATAAAAGATAGATTCATGTTTTCGACTTCATTTGATTACCAGCAAAATGAAAATACACAACACAGAATTTCTAAAAAAATAAGTAAATAAAATTAAAATTTCATAGGGCCCTATTATTGTATACAAATTAATAAATTACGTTGTTTTTATGAATTCAATTAATTAGATATGTTTTTGATTAAACCATTAAAATGGAATACAGAAAAATGTAAATAAAAAAGAAAGAAAGCGCACAATTTGGGCACTGAATGTAATTTTTGTTCAACTTTTAATAGGCCGAAATTGCTGTTAAATTAAACAAGTTTGGTGAATTTAATTAATTAGACATGTTTTTTGTTCAAATTTAATATAATCATCCAGAAAAATGTAAATGAAACCCCCCCCCCCAAAAAAACGGAATCCAGAAAAATTTAAATGGGAAAAAAGATTTTGGAAAAAATAAAACTTAGGCTAATTTGGGAAAAATAAAACGGATTTCATAGGGCCCTACAAATATCATGCATCTGAAGCTATAATTTTAATACTAAGCAACAGTGCATATTAAATAGGTCCTATTTTAATTTTTTAAACGGCACTCACTCGTTTTAATTAAAATAAATAAAAATAAATGTATATTTTAAAGTTTAGAATTAGACAGCCTTGCGTGAAAATGACCCCAACACACCACCTAGTGTCCAACCTACTCTAATACTATTATAACCTGTTTAAATGTGAACAAGGGATTTACAACATTAAAGAAATCCTTTATTTATAACATGTACATGAAAAATCTAAAAGATTGGACAACTATGGGACACGGTCGTGCAGCAGCGAGCAACAGTAAAAGCAACCTCAAGGTTGTAAATGTGTGAAATTGTATAGGGCCCCATTCCTGTATTTTGCCTGGGGCCCCCAAATCACTAAATCCGCCCCTGTCTTCACTCATGAAGAGTGTCAAAAGCAGAAACTGTAAAACTGTAAATTCTAACTCAAAACAAGTATTTCAATACACATCTTATTTCAAAAAGAAGAAATTCCTGGCTTCAAACAGCTTCATAGCTGTCATACTAACATGACAAAAAGCCACGCAACTCATTCATTTTTAAAAAGACAGTGCTCTCTAGTGGTCATATTGTGTTCTTACATTATCTTCTTAGTGACGTGACATGTGGCCAAGTATGGTGACCCATACTCAGAATTAGTGCTCTGCATTTATCCCATCCAAAGTGCACACACACAGCAGTGAACACACACACTGTGAACACACACCCGGAGCAGTGGGCAGCCATTTTTTGCTGCAGCGCCCGGGGAGCAGTTGGGGGTTCAGTGCCTTGCTCAAGGGCACCTCAGTCATGGTATTGAAGGTGGGAGAGAGTGCTGTACATTCCCTCCCCCCACCTACAATCCCTGCCGGTACGAGACTCAAACCCACAACCTTTGGGACTCGCTAACCATTAGGCCACGACTTCTTCATGCGGCAGTGGCACTGACATGAGTATAGAAGCCCCATAACATAGCATAACATATAACATGACATGACATAACATAAATAAAAGCAAACCAATGACAAAAAAACAAGAAGTGTTCAAAATATATATATAAATATATAAAAACATAACTCAATATCTGTTCTCAGTGTGGTTCCTTGCATTTTTGTTGATCTGTTTTTCTTGAAGATATGTCATATAGCATCTCATAACAGCAGACCTACACTTCAGGCAAAATATAATATTTACAAAAGTAATAAATGCAAGAAGTAGACTAGAACAAAGTGCAACTATGGAGACAAAAAGTGAAGACACAATGCTAAGAAGAGCAATGAACTACTACTACTATTTTATTATTATTATTACTATTATTATCTTTACTGTTGTTTACTTTAATTTATTTACATTTAAACAACATATCAAAAAGTACTGTAACTTACTGCACCTATATATATATATATATATATATATATATATATTACACTAAATCTGTTTTAACTTTAGAGATAATTTGGCTTCTAACAACACATTAGAATTGCTTCATATGAAGAAATTATTCTTACAACGTTTGTACAGTTCGATGCTCAATTATAGAATATAAAATTGTATAAGAATATAGAAAAAAAGAATATAAAATATCACTTAAAATAAAATATCCACAGTATATACAGTGCTGTAGGCATCTAAAATGAGCCTATAGATTAGGAGGGCTCTTCTTGTGCTTAAGAAACAGGTCACACTTGACCTCAGAGACCCTGCAAAAACTCTTCATACCCCTTTAAGATGTTACTGTCCCGCCTCCTGTTAGAACGCAATGGCATCGTCGGTGTAAGCAACCAATGGGAGACCACGACGAGCATGAGCTAGCGAGAGTAGTGTGTGTAGAGCGCATACGTATGTGTGTATGTGTGAGTGTGTGTATGTATGGGTGTGATTGAGATTCTAGAGACTTTTTATTTATTTATATATTTTTTGTAATTATACACACTTCAGCTTCATTGTCCATCTGGCGTTTGGAGTAAGAATAACATTGGTTTCACCCATCTGGATTTGAAAAACGTTTATGAGGAAGAATGTCAATGTCGCTGATCATTTCAACACAATACAGGAATTCAATAGTTATATTTGATTAAACTACATTCATCGGAGTAATGGTCGTTTAGACCAAGTTATGAGACTGTCGTAAATTCACTCTAAACAGATTGTGTCCTTCTGCACGGAGGTCTGCTGCTGTTGTTTTGGCTCTGGGGACTCATGATCGTTGTTTGTTTGTGTTTCAGCATGAGTTTGTTTGCATGGAGCTGAACATCTCTGAATAGACTCATTGACTGTTCTTTGAAAGAGGTGATCAGTCCAGACCTTATGTATCGGATATGAATCTGTAACTTGAAGCAGTGGTCTTAAACAAAGCTGAGAACAATCAAAGACAGAATGCTGAAGACCCTTACTAAAAAACTTAGAAGACACTCTCTAAATGAGATCCATCCTTTTCAACTAAAGGTAAGTCAGTAACTATATTACATAACATATGTATGTATTAAATTAATTGAACAAAATTATGTAAAGCTAAATACCCTTGTTGGCCGAGATGCATTAAGTATGCAGAACTATGTCTTGTTCAAATAGGTTGATTTAAAGTAAACAAATCAAAACAAAAAAGGCCATACTTTACAATGCAATGTTAATATTGCATAAATAAGTACTGAATAGGCTACTAATGAAATAATGAACTGATTGTAATCACACGTTCTTACGTTGGTAATCATTTATAGTAACATACGGTATTTTACAGTATGTAATAATATCTACACTGTAATGTAATGTAAGTGTTACCATGAAGCACTTTGTCTTATGACTGCTGTATTGTCCCACATTGGAATACAGAAGCTTTCTATTTACATTGTTCATGTCTCAGTGTACTACACTGTTTGTTTAAGCTCAAGGTAGATTTGTTACATGGAATAGTGATCTCTTTCTCTCTCTCTCTCTCTCTCTCTCACGTCATTATACACATTTATGTCCTCATTTGTCACAAAAACGCGTACACACACACACACACACACACACACATGTCTGGTCAGCTATCCTTGTGGGGACTCTACATAGGCGTAATGGTTTTTCTACTGTTACAGACCGTATATTCTATTGCCCTACACCAACCCTACCCCTAAACCTACCCCTCACAGGAAACTTTCTGCATTTTTAGATTTTCAAAAAACTTCATTCTGTATGATTTATAAGCTTTTGTACCCGTGGGGACCACAATTCAGGTCCCCACCGTGACACGAGTCCCCATGAGTCTGTGTGTATTCAGGTTTAAGTCCCCACCAGGATATATAAACCAGTACACACACACACACACTTACTTAGGAAGTGCACAAACAACATGAAAAGATGAAAAGATCAGTGACTATCCAAAAACTATATGTAAATTAAAAACCTTTATTCAAAGGAATAAACCAAAGAAACCAGATGACCTTGTGAGTTAAAAGTTTTCGCAGGAGAAAGCATGATGGCATCTAGCTTACACCATCTTGAAGAACCACCTTAACGTAATACAACACCTTTCTGGAATCCATAAATACTTGACATTCTGAACCCAATGCTGGTTCTCGGTTAATGCCATGATGCTATAAAGTCATAAATTGCTCATAAATGTGCCATGAAAGCCTTTCATAGAGGCATTTGTCAGTATGCTTCTTGTTTGAGCACATGGTGTGAAGTTCCAGAGAGATGTAGTCTAAATTTTGTATGAGCTTAAGCTCCTTGGTCCATTCCATTCATTCGCATGGTAGGTTTCACATTTTCCCTATTACACTTTTAGTTAATTGATCTATCATTTTCATTATTTGTCATGAGAGGTGTACCCTACAGCCATGTTTGAGCTCTTTCTTGGTGGAGGAGTTGTTATCTCTTCAAAGGGAGGTAGTAATGTGGCAATAGCAGGATGGAAATCTACTGTAAATCTAATGAGTAATGAATGAAATTAGAGAGGTCACTATAAAAATGTGACCGTCCTGTCGTGGTTATGAGGATTATATATATACTGTACAGTAGTAGACATGCCATTCCAAATCAAAGAGTAAATGGTCCCAGAATTTTCACTTTTGTGTCAACTATTCCTTTAACATATGCTCCTGCGGTGTTATTGTGAAAGATTAGTTATTCTTAGGTTATTCCAGAGACAAAAATAAATAGTTGTGCCTCTGAAATGACTTTCCTTTTGGCTCGTGTCAAATAGGCCACATGGGCTTGGTATTGAGAAAGAGCTGTTTAGGTGTAGTTTTATTCTACTCAATAATATTAATTAAAAGCTCACTGAGAAGATACCAAGAGACTAGACATAAAAAGATCTCACGCCATACTTTGTTCTTAACTCTGTTAGTTTTATTAACAAAACATTTCACCACTCACTGGTGCATTCAGGTCACGCTCAAAATCGCCATTCCATTTATGGTCTAATACGCAGTTTTGACACAAGATAGCAATTGTGAGTACCGTATTGGCCCGAATATAAGACGACCCTGATTATAAG